CGTACTTGATTGAATTTTTTTTCAGGGGGAATGTTTAGTCTTTAGGCATTTAAGCGTTTTAATGCGAACTCCGACATTTGCCAAATGAAGGAGCCCGATTACTCAACCCTCATCGCTTAAAACCACATACTCATAGCTATCGCCATTTTTTGAAGCGAAAATCGACGCTTGTGATGAAGACCTCCGATTACTAGGCAGCGATACTAGCGAAGTATTGCCGAATACTATTCATAAATAAGCACCAAATTAAAATAAAAAATCTCACAAACCCACTTCATTTCTTAAACATGGAGAACTAAGATTAATAGTTGAACCAATTTGCATTAAAAAATGCTAGACAAATATTTACAATACTTAGAAAAGTTAACCAAAAAGTGCAAAAGTCACAAAATCTTGAATATTCACCAAAGAGATACTCTTAGATTTAACCATATCATATTTAACACCTTAAAGTGTAAAATCTTAGCAATAGAAAATTTTGAAACATCTAATCATCGTTTATCAGGAACAATCACAAATATGTACAAAGATAGGTAAAAATTGGATAAAATTCGACAAAGTCAAACAAAAAATTCCAACAAAAATGCCTACACTTTCACTTTTCCAATATATTATCAATATACTACTCCCCCCACACCTAAATCTTACATTGTCCCTAATGTAAGAGATAAAGAATAGAATAAGAAATAAAAGGGACAACTAAACTTCCCTGAGCATGTAATGGAGGGTCTCGAGCAGCAATGACATAGGTGGGAATGGTGGTGTGAACCCAATATGGTGGACCTTCACTGCCCTCAAACTAAAATCGGAGATGCCAACAGATAGCAAAAATGGAGATGGTCATGGGTGGTGGCTAGCGGCGGCAGCATGGTGCGGTAGCGATGGTGACGAGCAGAAACAGCGCAAGCAGCGGTGATGGCTTGTGAGCGGTGATTGGCAGCCGCGTACATCCGCGGAGAGAGGTAGAGATAGCAGCGGCAACAGGAAAGGGAGAAAAGGGAAGGTAGAAGAGAAATATAAAGAAAGAGAGAAAAAAAATAGGGCACCGTTGGATTTTTTTTTTTTCTGAACCGTTGCGTTAGACGTGGGCACGCCTAACTGCCCTTGAGTCTTCTGGCCAGCCCTAAAAAATTAAGTTCCTTAAGCATGACCACATGACATGGACACGCCTAACTAATGCTGAGTCTTCTGCTGAAGCGATGAAAATTTCATGCCTTAGACGTGACCACCTGGCATTAGCACGCATAACTATCGAAGAGTCTTCTGACCGCAGATGAAAATTACCTTCCTTAGGTGTGCCTTATTGGCGTGGGCACGTCATAATGGTAAGAAGCCTGCTAATCATCAACAACAAAAAAGTAAACCACCAAATATGAAAAGTCTAAGAGAAACCTATTGAAATGCATCATAAATGATAAATAGTAAAAAAAATTAACAAACAACTAAAAAAAATGGATTGGGTTGCCTCCCAATAAGAACCTTTCTTTAATGTCTTTAGCTAGACATTGCCATGTTTATTCACTCGTTTCAGTGTTTCATCTTCTATGTAGCCCTGATATCCCTCATAAATAGAGTAATTATTGAGCACATGAGGTAAAGTCTTCCATGGATTAGTAGATGGCGCGAAACAAATAAGTAATGACTTTAAATCTTCACTCACTCCTCTATCACGAACATTTACTGGTTCGAGATATTTTGCCATCGCAACTCTTAACTTATTCCTGTCATAAAATTCAAAATCTTCTGGTATAATAATGTCAATCTCACAAACAGGAATTAAAAAATAAGAGTCAGGAGAATATTGATTAAGGAATGGAGGAGATGTCAACGCTTTTGGAGATTGTTCACTGGATGCATTCACTTGAAAAATTTAATATTGGGGTCTCATTTCTTGCACTTCAACTTCCTTTTCAACTGCATCTTTAGATCCGTTTTCTTGAAACTCTTGCAGTTCCATGTCACTTGTCAGGATAATTACATTCTATCTTCCTTAAGGTCGATGATGATCTGTGAGGACAATTCTTCATAAATAGGAAAAATCAATTTACTCAGTGTAGATGCCAATTCACGCTCTCCATCTTTCGTCCTTTTAATCATCCTTTGTGTGTGCTGTTAAAAATAATATACCACTTTCTCAAGAGACATATCTGATGTAAATAATGGTTCTTGACGCATTTCATCCTTCGTCGCTCCACTTCTCATTTGTGCCTTCTGTTCAAATCGATATGTATTAGCAGTTAGTAATTTCATTATTTTTCAAGAGATATACCTGACATTGATGATGGTTCTTGAGACTCTTGTTGTTGGAAATCCATTGGCCCCGTCGCATAATTAAAATTGGAGTTATCCTACCATCCTTGATCATAGGCACTGATGTTGGTATGTGAAGGCAAATTTTTCATGCATTTGAGAAGTCAATTGCATTATCCTATATGTCAATAGATGCATTTGATCCGCCAGGTTACGAATGCTCATTTGTGTCTCCTGATGAAATCGATATGTGTTAGTAGCTAGTGATTCAATCATTTCCTCAAGAGACATACCTGACGTTGGTGATGGTTATTGCTGTTGATATTGATATTGAAAACCTATTGGCTCTGTTGCATAATTAAAGTTGGAGTTGTCCCACCATCTTTGATCATATCCATTTGAATAAGGGTCATACCACGTTTGAAATCAAGGCAAAAAATCTCCAAATTTATTGGTTGAGCCATTCAGGTAATTTTGAAATTCATGGCACATAACGGTTGAATGATCCATGGCATAACAAATTTCACAAGTTGCAACGGCCATTTTTTCTATAAGAGAATTTAGTGAATCTAAATGCTGATCATCAGAAAAAACACAAGCCTTGTTATCTCTCCTAGGAATAAAATCCAGTCTATCACTAAAATACGGAATGTTAGCTGCCATAAACTATATATAAAAAAAATGAGAGGAAAATAAAAAAATGAAAACAAGATGAACTTAAAAAGAGTCGAATTAATCAAACACCAATCCCCGGCAACGGCGTCAAAAATTGACTAGTGTCGAGCCTGTGCAATAATAAGGACTTACTCAACAAAATTATAGATTTGTATATAGCGGTAAGTTGGGTCGAATCCACAAGGATTGAGAATAATTCGTTTATTCTAGAGTTCAGAATATGGGGGGTTTTTTTAATAAAAATTTAAAATTAACCAATTAACTAAATACAAGCAACTCAAGAAAATAACAGGAATTAATCACTAATAAATACAATTCTAGCCAAGGTTACACTTCAAAGATGTTTTAAGTAACTGATCATTGATGCAATTATAATTCCAATATTCATTAATAAACAGGTTTTTAACTGTCGATACGATCTGACGGTCAGTTTCTCCTTACTGTTTCGATAATCAAGGTACGACCATTGACTATTTCTCTAATTTAGGAATAACACTAGGTACGACCATATGATTTAATTCCTCAATTGCATTAGAAACTTGAGAAACCCTATTCTAATCAATAAACACGCTACGAGGGATTATTTAAATTAGATTGTATGTTTTCCCGATATAAATTCAATTATGCCAGTTGCCACCTGGATTAGAACAGTCAAACAATTACGGATTCAACTATTCCAATTAACAAATAGATTACATGTATAATTAAACATTGCGCACCTATTCAATTACATACAATAATCATACTCTATAAAGCAGAAAACGTACAAATACCAAAGTATAGAGGAGATAAATAAAATCAATTAGATCTCACAGTAATAGTTGAATCAAATCCTTGGTGTTCCTTCACTAGAAATCCGAAATTAGTTCTCCATTAATAGAGAACAAGCCATGCAAAAAGAGTTTAGGCGCGCCCACGTGCAACCATTAGATGTTTTCACCAGAAAATCTTCATTTAAGCACTTTTCATTCCCGCTTATGAAATAAGTACAAAATACTAAATATAAGTAGAATTCGATAATTAAAACAATATTTGGCTAAAATCAAGGAGAAAATAATTATAAATTTAGCAACAAATTATGACCTATCAATATCAATATTTGATTACTTTTAAAAAATGGTAAAGAAAATAACCTAATAAGCCAAAAATTCATTACAGAAAAATGAACAAAACAGATGTCCAAATAATCAGCTTTTGAATGTGACTATAAAAGATAAGTAATTTACCTCAAATTATTTAATTACAAGGATATAGAATAAAATTTTTTCTTTAATTTCTTACATTAAAAAATGGATGAAGTTAATTTGAATATAATTGATTGGTAATTTAAAAAATGAGACTATCTCCCACCATGGTCTCCTTCCTATGGATTCCATTTTTGTTTTTTTTTCAATAAAGTTTCTCCCTCATAATTTTTTAGTGAGAGTTCTTTGTTTCAAGGTTCCTAGTGAGAATTTTTTATTCTCCTTGGAGTTTCCAGTGAAATTTTTGTGTAGTTTTTCTTATTTTATTGTCAAATTTGAATTTATTTCATATTTGGTTATCAAATCTAAAATTTTTTTGACCTTGAGTCTATCTCGACGATCTCATTATTATTATTGGAGGTTAAAATAGTACAAAAGAAAGTTGCAACATGTACAACATGTAAAGTTGATTAACAGATTTAACGATTACAACATGTACAGAAAGAAAGTTGCAGCGATTTATCTTATGAGAAGACATTTCAGAATTTCTTCTAATTTTTAGATCTTTTTATTTTTTTTTCGAATCTTTATATCCATTAAATTGCAAATATGTTACATAGTGCATATTTATCTTGCCATTAGCACAATTTCTCTGATGTAAATCAAATTGGACTAAATGATTACCAATAATCATGTTAATGAAGTCCCCTTGAGTTTGTTCACTGTATTATCCCTCCGTTGATTTGCTGGAACATTTGGAAGGTGAGCAATGCAGCTCATTTCGAGGGAAAAATTTCTGTTCCGGTGGCTATTTGTGGATGGGTTTTTTATGACGTAAGGAATCGCTCCCGTTTGAAATTTCCTGGCCACCCTTTTGTTTGTTCAACATGGATGGATTTCTACACTGCGCTCACCTTGGTTCGCAAACAGGTGTCGTTCAGGTTAGTCAAGTGGTTCTGCCCCTCGTTGGGAGTGCTTAAACTAAATGCTGATGGTTGCTCAAGGGGCAATCCAGGGAGGGCAGGGGGTGGTGGAGTCCTACGGGATGATGGCGGAAATTTCCTGTTGGCATTCTCCTCATTCTTTGGGAGTAGAACCAGTATGCAAGCGAAAGTCCGTGCCCTTGTTTTGGGGGTCAGATTGTACATTTCACGTGGATACGCGCGTTTGCATATCGAACTGGATTCTTTAGTGTTGGTCCAAATTTTGAAGCAAGTATTTTGATGTCCTTGGAGTGTTTATTCAGAAGTTCTGCAGCTCCGTAGGCTCTCGTCAACTTTTGTTGAAATCTCTCATTGCTATCGAGAAGGTAACCAAGTTGCGGATTGTTCATCGAATGTTGGATGCGACGAAGGTAGTGACAGAACCTATTTTCAGCTCTCGGAACTTCCTCTACATGTCCGAGGGGCCTTTAGATTGGATAAGATAGGTCTACCTTCGATTAGGAAATACAAAGGCAAATGATGTAAGGGGAATAGTGTTTCTTAGTTTTGCATCTAGGATAACAGTTTCGCTTGTACTTGGAGGTAAGGTTTGTGTCTCCCTCCGCCCCCCTGCTACATTTAAATAGCAAAATAAAATAAAATAAAATTTAGGGGCCAAAAAAATATCAAACAAATGAAGAAATACATATAAATGTGTGTTTGTGTTTGTGTTAGTGTGTATATATAGGTATACACACATGGATTATGACAAATAAAAGAGATACAAATTACTATAGAACTAATATATGCAAAAAAAAATTATAGAACATAAAATTAATTAAAACTTGATTCTTTGACAAATACAAATGTTAGAGAAGGAAACAAGTGGATAGAGGAAATTTCATACTTGTTCAAAAATAAGAATTTGAAATAAGAGAACTAATTAAAAAATCAACATAATCGAGGGGTAATTTTATCTTTCAAGGGGTTAATGAAAACGAATAAAGTTTAAGGTGTAAACCAATGTTTTGAAACTCGGATGGTTAATTGACTCGGCGAGGTGTGAGTCCAGATTTAACAGGTCGGACTGGTTGGTTCAATGAATTTTTTAATAATTTATATAAATATATATGCACAAAATAAGGCATGCAATGGACTAATTTAAGATTTTATATGATGAAAAGTTTAATATTTTTAAAGAACTTGGATTTTTTCAAGTAAATTTTTTAAATTATAAGTTGAAACAAATAAATTTCATCTCAATTTCAATTGTATCAACCAAAAAAATCTTAAATCCAACCCAAAAATACCACAATATTTTGAAATTATACAAAATTCACGTCTACGGGAGTTAGACATTGTGATTTTAAATTTTAATTCACATTTTTGGGATTTAGATATTGCAATTAAAAAAAAGAAACTTGGAGTTTAGAGGAAGTCAAAAAAATAGAAAATAGAGATGCAAATTTGATAAGAGGCAAAAAATGAGAAGAAAGTGAGTGAATGTGACATTTAATAATTAGTCTTTAAGGTTAAGGAAAAACTATTCTTTTTTATATTTTTTTCAATTTAATAGACAAAAACAAAAAACCGCTGATTCAACTGTTCAATCCGATTTACACGATTCGAATGGTTCAATCCAATTTTGAAGTCCAATCAACCCAAAGTATGAATCGAATCGGAGTTATGAACGGTTCGCGGTTTGACTTGCACTTAAAAATTAGTATTGCCGGGATCATTTTGTTCGTTTTAGTAGTGTAACAAGAATGTGATGGTCTTATTATTTGGTTATGGTGATATTAGTAAAGAATCGGCTTGTTATTGCAACATCCACTGCAGGTAGCGAAACTGAATTGTTAAAAAATAAAAAATAAAAGAAACTGAATTATTGAAACCTACCATGCAGATCACTAGCTAGCATTAGTCCATTTTTACACTGAAAGTTAGAAAAAAGAAAGATTAGCCCACTTTTTATCAACCTATATAGCTTTTGTAAATTTTAAGCTCTAATTCCAATGGATAGTTGCATTATGTCCCTTTTTTTTTCAAGGGAAGAAAAAAAATTGTGGTTACCATAGTTTACTTTATCTAGAGTAACATATTTGAGGAGTAATTATTTGTGGCCTGAGAATTGAGAATGACATATTGGTTTGGAAACATTAATCATTCTAACAAAATAAAATCAATCTAGTTACCATAATTTACTTTTTCTCGAGTAAGTAAATTATTGCCCATTGGATTTTTCTACCATGTATATATACATACTACAATCATTACCTCCTTTGTATTTATGTACTTTTTCTATTTAATCTCACCGACATTCTCTTGTATTTATTTACTTTCTCTACTTAATATTATGTTTTCAAAAATATGACATCTGCAATATATCTTAATGAGTGACCAATGGACATCGGTGAAATAGACCCTTTAAAGATTAATTATTTGTGGCCAAGAATTAGTTAGGTGCCAATTGACATCAATATTTTCGTGTTAAACACCTTCCAAATATATACAAAATTATTTTGCCCAAAACCCATGTATTTTAAAAGACGACCGTTTTCCAGAACTGTATATAGGGCACCAAAAACTCATACTTCATATCACTAAACCCAAAGATATATACACATCCTCGGTATAACACTAAAGATGGAAAAGCTTCTGCGAACAAATACATGCTTGATTTTCTTGTTTTTCTTGGTCGCCACAGGCTCTTTTGGTTAGTAATTTTCATTTTTAACATATCACCAACCAAATGTTCTATGATTGACAATTTTACCATATGACATGTGTTTTTTTTTCCTTTCTTTTTCAGGGGTGCATTTGCACCCGCCACCACCAAGAGATCTACAAATTGGTCCACACTCTGCATCCCTCTGACAACTTGCGACTATTTTTTTTTTTTTTTTTTTTTTTGTCAACACAGGGGTGTCCGGGTCAAGACCCGAAGGCGGCCCGACTAATCCCCTGCGCCTGGAGTACAGCGCCACCCCAACCGCACCCAGGCGTTAGGTGAGGTTCGATCCCACGACCTTACGAGTGGTTTTTCAGTCGCAGACCGGGTGATCTAACACCGGGGGCTAACAACTTGCGACTATTTTGGATCCACCAAATTTGAGTGTTTGGCCTGCCCAAACTTTTTGCTGAGCATTATCTTTATGAAACAATTTGCATTCAGTATCCTTCTCGCATTTTCGTGCATCAACTGTTGGTAGTCCTATTCACAAAAGGGAAAAAAAAAACACATGTCATATGGTAAAATTGTCAATCATAGAACATTTGGTTGGTGATATGTTAATCATAGAACATGTGTTTTTTTTGGTTAGTAATTTTCATTTTTAACATATCACCAACCAAATGTTCTATGATTGACAATTTTACCATATGACATGTGTTTTTTTTTTTCCTTTTGTGAATAGGACTACCAACAGTTGATGCACGAAAATGCGAGAAGGATGCTGAATGCAGATTGTTTCATAAAGATAATGCTCAGCAAAAAGTTTGGGCAGGCCAAACACTCAAATTTGGTGGATCCAAAATAGTCGCAAGTTGTCAGAGGGATGCAGAGTGTGGACCAATTTGTAGATCTCTTGGTGGTGGCGGGTGCAAATGCACCCCTGAAAAAGTGTGCTGTTGCCGTTTCGGGTCGCAACCGTGCGAATGTAGTTGAACACTTTGTCATGTATCACAATTCTCATGTATTGCTTAAATTGTTGCCTCAATTATTTGTTGCTTGAAGACCAAATCGATGCTCAATAAGGTCTTATTGTCATGCATTTTCAGTAAACATAAAAATAAAAACATATTTACTCTCTCTCTCTCTCTCTCTCAATTAACATTGACAAAGAGAAAAATCAAAATAAAATTGCATCAAAGGCACCTACTAATTTATGGACAAGTTTTAAAATCTTTAAAGACTTATCAACTTGCATGAGTTGAGACTTCTAATAAACTAGATTGATTAAAAAATTTTTGGGGGCAACTTAACTATTAAAAGTTTTATTTACCTCACTCGTTTTTTTTAATTTGGAAACTATTTGTCATTCTATCCGTGTTTTTAATGATATCGTTTTGATTCCATTGAATCTAAAATAAATTTATGTCTATGCATGATCAATTAAAACATAGAAGAGAAACCATCAACTATTTTATACCATGATCAAGAAGTAATGAAAATAGATGAGGAAAAAAGTTGTTGGATTTAAACAAAAAATTTTGGTGTTCTATAATATTTTTCTTAAAATATTAAGTATGAAATATAGAAGTCCTTGAACTTAATTATAAAGTATTCTCTCTCTCTCTCTCTTAATTATTTTTTCTTGATGAAAAAGAGAAAAACCCAAATAAAATCGGTATTAGTTACACGTGCTAATTTATGGACAAGTTTAAAGATTTATTATCAACTTGAGTTGAGACTTCTACTAAACTAATTTGATCCAAAAGTTTCGGGACCACTTAACTCTTAAAAGTTTTATTTAACTTACTCTAATTTTGACTTTTTAAACTATTATTCATTCTGTCCAAAAAAATTTTCTATTTTGGTTGCATCGTCTTGACTTTGTTGAATTTATATAAACTTGCATATATATATATATATATATATATATATATATATATATATATATCTGTGTGTGTGTGTAAACTTAAATAGAAAGAAAAAAAATCATCATCCATCCTGTATCATGGTCAATCAAAAATGAAAATAGATAAGAAGAAAATGAAAACAGAGTCCTTGAGAATTATGATATAGACCCACAGATTATTGGTTCAATTGTTCCAGTCTGTGTTATACTAATAGAATGAAAACTCTGTTTGTGCTTAAGCTTGAGTAGTTTCATCTTGAATTTTGAGATTACCGTGTTGAAGCTAATAGTATTATGATGCACATCCACAGATTATTCGGTTCAATTGTTCTAGAGTGTTACAGGAGAATGTCTCTAGACTATTGTTTGTTCTGCATCTTTTCAACATTTAGAACCATCTACCCACCCAAAAAAAATGTTTAGAACCATCTTATTTTAGTGTCATTGCGGAATGCTGCTTTGAATAATGTGGTCAAGCTTTGTTCTGGATCTTTTCAATTGTGATTACGATCTCATTGATCACTTTGCTGGAATTGACTTGCTCTGTAGAAAGGTATTTATGTAGAAGAATCTCATGTGTATATATTTTTCTTTTCTTTAGTCGTATAGATTTTTCTTTTCTTGAAGGCTGAATCTCATGTGATCCATGCTGTTCTCAAAGGAATATGTTGTGATTATAGTCAAAAAATTATCTTATTGATTACTTTGCTAGAGAAATCAACTTTGTGAGATAGGTATTAAGCAGGAAAATCTTCAAGAAAATATGGTTCTATGACCATAAAGGATATTTTTCTAGTGCACTAGGTGATTGTTTAGTATTTCAAATACTGTATGAGACAAATATAGATCCCACTATCCTTGGCTGGTTCCAATCTACTTGGTGAGACTTTTATGTAGTGCACAACATTATACATAACATAATATTT